TTTAATTTCATTTGTGTGTATGCAAACTATATCACTGCACATAAAGAGTTAAATTCTGTTAGATGTCTCATACTCTGTCATTTAATTTATTTAGACACTGCTTCGATTTCAAATGGAATTCCTAAGATTAACTTCTCTCAGTCAGTCAAGACTTGTGTAAATTGAATTACACACTTGAGTTGAAACCTGCTTATAGTATCTTTGATCTAATTAATCTGCAATAGAAACAGAGGTCAAACACAAGCACTCTCATCTGCAATGGAAATTCCTCATAGTGAAGGTCTGAATGAAGCGATTCCAAAACCCGCAAGAGGCTAGCAACAAAAAATTGTATTGAAAATACAAATATTGAAAAATACATGTGTAATTGTATTTTTAAAAGGGTTTGGCATACCCTGGTTTTCCTGCGTTGTCCCGCTTACAGCTTTACATCTTGTTTTCTGTTTTTTTTCTTTTTTAAGCGTTTAACAGTTACATATACATATAAGAGTCTGATGACTTTTGGAGGGTATCAAGATGATTTTATGTTGGTTGTTAACAATGCTCAGGCAAAGGACAAATCAACTGAAAAACACCTTTTTGCCATGACAAAACCAAAGGTCAGTATATTACCTGAAACAATTTTCCACCATCTGCTACTTTTCTACTTTTTCTAATGGGTAATCCTTAACAGATGTGAAAGATGAAACACCTTCTTTATTCCTTGCATTCCCAGATTACTGAATTTTGCCAGATGTGAAATAATTAGTAATGTAAGAGCTAACAGTGGCAATACTGATGTGTTCCTTTGCTTTTGATATCCCTGTGTATTACATTCCAGATTTTTCATAGAAGGACAAACAAGGCTACTTAGGACAGGAATTATATGTAGTACTTAAAAACTAGTCTGTCTGCTTGACCAGCACCAGTGGCAGCTTTTAATAAGGTACATTCGTGTTCTACAGTGGAATTATAGAATACAAGATTTGAAAGATCAGTCACTTCTTAAAAATCCTAGGATATTTTTACTTTTGGTAAAGTAACTGTTCATGCTTTTTAAATTTAGATTCTCTCCTTCACTGGTAAGTCTGACTATATTTAAAAAAAAAAAAAAATCAAGATTCCACAGCCTTTTGCTGTTAGAACAATTAATGAAACAGAATAGAAAATTCCACACATAAATTTGGGTCAAAACACAACTCTTCATACAAATAAGCATAGTAGAATGCATCTGTTCAAGTTTCCCTCAGACTGTGCTCTTATAGGCAAGGCTGTGTGGGTTGCAAAGTAAAAACACCGTAAGAATCTCCCAGAAGTCTTTATTCCTTTTATTTGCCCTGTGTCTTTAGTTCTCCGATCACTGGGTATTTTCTAGCAAAACTGAGGGAAAACATCATGAAAGCTTTCTCTAGGAGGGTCATCCTTCAGACCTCAAAGTCTCTCTCAAAGTGAAAGAAGCCAAGAAAGAAGGCAAAGTTTTAGCATATTGATGGGAATAACATTACATTATTTGCTGCAAGCAATAGAAGCAAGCTCTATTAGGCATCTCCTCTCTCCTCATCATTAATTTGTTTGATAAAGTACTTTTCCAGTTGATGGTGATTGTCACTTGCTAAAAAGTTAGCTGTTTTTTCAGCAGTCAAAACACATCACTGTATTTTTCAAAGAGTTTTGCATGTTCCTGTTACAGATTCTTGAGATCACTCTATTGATTGCCAGCTACATTAACAACTTTCATCAGCTGAAAGGAGCTGCTCATCACCTCTCTGCCCCAGCATTACTGACACCTCAAAGTGGACAGAAACTCAAGGAAATGGGGAGTCAGCCACTTGTTGCAAACAGCAGGCCAACAAAATGTCCCACTTTGTTATGACCAGATTATGTATCATGATAATTTATCTTTGTTATGGGGTTTCGACTCTGATTGAGAACTTCTTGATGTACAAGACAGAGCATAAGAAGGTCCATAAAGAAAATCAAAGTGGACAGGTTTGTAATCATTTCAGTAGTATGTTACAGGAGGAGCCCTTTAATTAAAGGCCTGGCCTGAACTGGAATGATGATGAACCATCTTAAAGATTAAGCTTTACTTGTGGTGGCTTGTGTCTACAGACCAGAAATAAATGTGTCTGTTGATCGTGATGGGGAAAGGTGACCTTGGGAGCAATTGTATAGATTTTAGTAGTTTTCTAGATATTTACTCAGGGACCAAACTGTCTTCAACTCTTCATCTCTATTTTTCCTAAATTGCACAAGTTGTATAACACTCACTTTGCAAAGGAAGTTTTGTTCAAAAAAAAAACCCAGTCAAATGCAAAATATTTTCCATTTCTAGCACCATCCTTATCTGCAATACAAGCACCATGGGACTAAAAAGAACAAATTGTTTGATTTTTATAGATGTTTCTCCTTTATAAAAAAAAGGCAAATCATGCAACTATTATAAATTTAAAGAGTATTCTTGTGATGCACTCTAGCCTTTGTTATACAGCTATTTTACTTGGGCAAATCTTTAGCCTTGGTCTGGTAAATTTCTAAATAATTTATCTCTGCCCCAGCCTTTTGGAAAAATCTAAACTGAACAAGCAGTGTACTTAGTATAGTTCTGCTAAACACAATCCTGTACCTAATTTATTCTTTAATCCATAAGAATAATACAGATGCAAGAATGATTCACAATTCAAAACCAAGAACGACATAGAAAGTTATTGCTTGAACTGTTGTGAGTAAACTTGGAGACATATGCAACATATAAAATCCATGTATAATGTGTATAATGTATATACGTTGGTTCAGAATAATATTTTGTAAAAGTTGTACTTCCTCTTTTTCATTTGTATCTATAAATTTTATATTATAATATTAATATAATGTTCTTTCACACTGAAAACATAATGCTGCATCTGCACTACCGGACCTCGGAAAACCTTCAGTTGCTTTTTACAGCTGCAAGCCTCAATGCTATGTAGGGCCAAATATATAGAAATTACCCCTGTTTTTTCTTCCAATCATCTTATTTTCATTTCCATGCAAATAAACCCCTTATGCAGGCTCTGAAATGGATCAGCAGCATAATCTAATAGATGATTTAGGTCCAACCATACAGAAGGTAGTCAAATACAAATCACCAATTTACGTACATTTCACAACTTCCACTTCTGCTCATGGTAGTGATCATGGATCATTAACTCCTTGCTGCTGCCCTAAGCACTTTGGGGTTTTTTTGTTGTTGGGTTTGGGGGAGGATTTTTTGTTAATTTTTCTTTTTAATTCATTACTTTAAACTGTAGTAGTTTCACAGTTATGAGTTTTAATATTTGAAGATTGCAAATCTCCTTTATGACATTTAAGCATTTCACATATATACATACTCATACTGAAATAAAAGGGATTTTCAGGTGTTTGCCCTATGTGAAAGGTAGGGAGTATCCTCCTGAAGAATTGAAATAGATTGGAATAATACACAAGTTGTGAAGAGAATATGCTCTTCAAAAGTGGAAGGACAAACTAGCAAGCTGATCTGATAAATACATCTCTTCTAAAAGCTCTCAGAGTCCTGGCACAACTACTTAAGTCTGTGGGATCCTAGCACCAGTTTATGAATGGTACTATGGGCCACTGCTTTGCCTTGAAAATGACAAGCAAATAACAAACATAGTATATACAGATGCTTTCACATTTGCAATGTAGAAAGAGCTTCCTTGTAGCTTTCACTGTTTGGTGTGGGATTGTGGCACCACATCCTTATCTTTCAAGGAGGCAGGGCCTCCTTGGAAAGCAGGAGGAGGTTTACCTCTCAGTGGGTGGCCAATCCCCTGCCACCATTAAGAAAAGCATATTGGAAGCTGCAAGAGACCCTGCCACTGGCTGCAGCATCCTTCTGTGCAGCACCCTATGTGAAGTGATGCAGATACACAGTAAAATTGAGTCAGGGATTAACATCCCTTTACAATCAGCAGAAAAGTTGACTTTCAGAGATTCGGGGGAGGCAAGGTCTTCGCAAATTGAAACACACTACTACGTCAGTTATACTGAGGTTGTCGTCTGAAGCTTCTCATATAAGATTAGAAACTTCAGTTTACAAATACAAAAATCTTCATGTCATCATGAAATTACAACTGTCAATCTAGAATACTCCAACTAGTAATTCTTTAATAATTGTCCAGTTTCAAATGAGTGTGGCAGATCACGTTCTATTAGAAGGCAAAACCAGTGTTCTGCTAGTAAACTTGTTCATGTAGTTTTAAAAATCTTTGTTGAATTTAGAGACAATGTGATACACAATACAAACAGCTGATGTGCAGATTTTAAGGTTTTTTACAGTTTTCATTAACACAGCTTTACAAACTGCTGTTTTATAAAGCAATAGACAATTTTTTGAGTATGACCTTCCTGCCTGCCTTCTGGTAGATAATTCTAGATATTGCTTTGCTTTCCAGTGTTGAGTTCTTGCTGTTGCAGTGCATCCCTACACCATAGTACCAGAAGCAATCCATGCATTAGCTTCTCTTTTTTTAGCAGCACCTTCCTGACTTAGTGCCACTAACTGCTCATTACAGGTCACCATTATTCCCAGGCAGTCACATTACCAGAAATGCTGTGTTAATTTTTATGAAAGCAATGCACTCACAATCACAGTTACCATGACAACACTACATTAAACAATGAAGTTTCTAACAGGATTTTCATTAGCAGGAGCAACGTTTCCGTTGTAACCTCCTCAAGACACTTTCTTCAAGTTAACAGAGTCAGCAGGTAAAGTCTCCTACACAAACACTTCCAAACACATCTACTTAAGTCTCAAGGGGACTTGCTCCATGTTATAATCTAGCTCCAGAACTACTTAGGGGATACCACACAAGACAGCAAAGCTGATAATCTGTGCTGCTTTCCTCACTTGGCCCAAGAGCCTCATGAGTGATCCACATTTCAGCCTTAACCTTGAGTCATGTACCGAAACAATTCATACCCTGCTACATAATCCACGACTAAAGCCCAGGTACAAATTAGACCTTTCTCACCTTCAAATCTTCAGCAGCAATGATATGATGGGAGCTGTCAGACAAGCAGTGACCTCTGGGGCTGATGCAGAACTTCCCATACTCAAGGCTTGCAGAACCTAGACTGTAAAAGTATTCTCAGGGTGAGATGAATGTGTTAGCACATGCAAGGATACCTCACCTCCCATCATGAACTTCAGAACATCTTTTGTGCTTGGTTTGAGCTAGTGGTCAGTATCAGCAATCAGTACAAATGGTCAATGAATCTGAGCTTGACAATTACTGAAAGATCACTGGTAACTCTCTGTATAAGCAATTACACTGATTTAAAAATAATATTTGGAATTCAGTGTAAATTAATATAGTCACTGAAATTCACTCTGTCTTGTCAGTTTTTGTGCAGCAGTATTAGTAAGCAAACTGTGATTTCTGAAACAAGCAACACCTGTTTACTCCAGTAATACAGCTGGCAAATGACAAAGCTTTGTGTTTTTAAAACAATTCACAGAATTAGTGTTTTCTGTTATTTTAGATTTAAATCAAATTTGGGTTCTATTTAAATTTAAAATAGAAGCACATATTTGCCTATAAAAGAAGGCAGCTGTTGGAGTTCCCCGGCAGACTAACACAGTTTTTATAGGTTTTATTTTTTTAGGTTTTCCTGAAGGAAAAAAATTATCCATGTGTAAAGGAATGCACCAATTAAAGCTTTAGGTAGAGCTTTAATAGTCCATACAGCTTAGTGTAAACCATTAGTATGAGTTAATTTTAACTAAGGTGATTAGTAACTCAGTAATAATGAATTAGGAAGAAATCTTCCTTTTTTTTCCAGGTTTCTTAGGGCAAAGGAAATGAAATCAGGTAAGGGGAAACTTAAAATACTTAGAACTCTAACTTCATTTCAAAATCGGATTTCACTAGAACTTACTAATTGTATACCCTTACACTGTGCTTCCTAGCTCAGATTTAAACTGCAGTATCTTCCAGATTTGTCACCTCTCTGCCAGTGAGTAAAACACTGTAAAAAGACTTTGCTTTTTAGTCTCACACTCTTGGCTGTTGAAGCAATATATGCCTAGATCATAGTGCCAGGAGCAATTCCTACCTTTGGCAGAGGAAGAGCAGCTTTGTCCAGGATTTTTACAGCCTCTGATTATAGATCAGCACCGTCTTCATATACCAAGATGTAAGAAATAGTCTGTTGAAATGAAATAATGCACTTAGAAAGGCATCAGCATGACCTGCCACAGTACAACACCAAACAATGAAGTTTCTTTCTGAATTTTAATTAGCAAGACCATAGTTTCCATAGCGGGTTAGCAAGTTGTTTAGATAAAAACCTGTGAAAATCACCATAGGCTTCTGGGACTGAAACTGATTATGGAAGTCAAACTTAGAAAAAGGTTTTCTTTAAAGAACAAGTATTACTTAGGGACTGTAGAAGGCTTGGGGAAGGAAGAAGGAACAGTTAATTCTGAGTTAATCATTATGAATGAGGCCACTTTCCTTGTTTTGATCAAACAGATAAAAAGACTTGGGTTTTTCTCCCTCTCTAGTCTCAGACAATGCAAAGCAGCTACTCAGATACAGAAGGTCAGCTGTAATTGCTGTCCTAAGTTTTAGGTCAGTTCTGACTTGTTGGGTTCATCTACAATCCTACATCCCTTTTGTATGCTGGGCCATCCCGCTGTTGTACTGTGCCCTGTAAATCCTACTTTCTAATCCAACCCTTTTTGGATCCGATCTCTGACCAACAGATTTTATTAGAAATAATCTAGCCCATATCCTGTTTGTTATAGCATCGTATTTGTATTTGCAACAGTTGATTTGTATGTCTCAGTAACTACAAAATAATTGCACTTATTTTTTTATAGAGAAGTTAACTTATCAGGGCACGGGAACTATGTCAGGTCTTGTCTCACTCCCTCCACTGCTAACAAAGCCATCTTGGGGACCGTTATCAGAAGCCAATGTTTAAGGCTGAGGTAAAATAAAGGACACCCTCCAGTTATGACATAGTTATTAACCCCTGGCCTTCTCCACAGCTGAAGTACTTTACATCTTCAGTACAAGCTCTATAGTCGAGGTCCCCCAAGGACTCGCACCGCCAGCTCCGCTCACTCTGGTACCAAGCCGGGGCTGCGGGTCCCATGGTTCTGCACTCACCTCAGGGGCGCGGCGGCCACGGCCCCCGAGGCGGCTGAACCCGCTGCAAGCGCCGACAGCCCTCAGAGAAGCTCCCGGCCGCCGCACTACTCTCGGTTAAGCCGAGAACGCCCCATCCACCGCCGCCTCCACCGCCACCGCCTGGGCAGCCGCCGCCAGCGCCGGGCATAAAGCGGGAGGGGAGGCGGAGCGAGGCCGCGGCCCGGCCCCGCTGGGAAGCCGCCTCCGTCCCCCGGTCCGCGGAACTACACCTCCCAGCGTGCCCTGCACGGTTCCTATGGCAACGGGGAGCCAGGCCCGGGCCTCGAGGAGCGATGGCCAAGGCTAGGTAACGGGGAGCCCTGTCCGGGGTCGGTGAGGGGGTTCGCCCTTGCTGCCAGGTGGGGAAGTAGCCGGCGGCGAGGAGGACAGCCTGTAGGAGAGAGGGAGGCAGGCAGGCGGGTACGAATGCGGCAGGCTGACACGGGGCCGTTTCGGCCTCTGCCCCCGAAAGCCAGCGGGGCGGGGGATGGGACGGGCGCACGCCTGCCCCTTGGTGCGCGGAGCCGGTGGCTCCTGTCGGGGACCCCATAGAAAAGGGGTTCCCTACCGTAGAAATCCAGCTTCACCGCCCCGCACGTGGCCTTAGGGGAACCTGAGAAGGAGCAGCGCTCGCTGCCCTGAGCAGTAGCTTCCCTGGGAAACCGAGGGCACCTGAGCTCCTCCCGTTGCCAGCAGCCGGGAACCCCCGGCTGCAGAGACCTCCAGCCTGGCCCGCAGGGCGCTGTGAAAAGCCTTCGTCGTCAGAAAACCTGTTAAAGGTACCTTGAACTCGCTCAAAACGAAGACTCCTGCCACACAACTGGTACTCACTCAGCGTGTGCCGCAAGTGGCTGCTGGGGTAACCTGAGGACTTGTGCTTAACTTGGTTTTGTTATAAAAAGTACCTCGACAGGCAGAGGGCATGTGATGTGAAATAATAAATAACAGGAATAATAAACCGCAATACCCTTCATTCATAGGTATTTTCTGGAATTATGGTCTAGGGTATGCTGTTTTTCTTGGATGACACTCGTTTTGTTTTTTCCGCTAGTGATACTTTGTGGGATCTTGCTATAGCTGAAGTGGAGAAGAGAGAAAAGGCTGACAGCGATGGCAAGCATGCAGAAGTCTGGGAAAGATCAGTATTATTTATGGGAAACAAAAATGGGGTAATGCTAAATACTGTGCAGTTCTGTGCTTTCTGGACATTGTGTTAGGGAATATATTTGGTATTTTCAGATACTAAGGTTCACTTAATTCTTCTAAAGACAAAATACATCATGTTCTCATTCTGCAGAGAGTGGTCATTCCACAAAGCGTGGACCAATTAGATATTATTACAATCCAGAAATTCAAGTTCATGGTTTGAAAGGTCAAAACTTCAACCATTGGTATCAATAATATGCTTATTCTTTGAGCTTTGGCTTCATTAATTTTGTTTAAAAAGTAACTGCTGGAAATACTGCTACTCTCTTTACTTGTTTGACATGTCATATTTTCCATTGTAGAGGTTTCACTGGTAACAATCCAATATAAGTGCATTGTTACCAGTTTTGTTGTAGAGGCCTTGAAATCCAGCTATGAATTGTGCTTGTATTATGTCAGACCTAGCTGAACATGCCTTATCAGTGATTGCAAACTCATGATTCCACATGCCTAAGGCTGTTTTAACTCATTGTCCCATTAATGTTTGATCATTAATAATTTCTTATTTTATTTTGTTAGCATTTATTTGTAAAGTAAATAAGGAAATATTTGCCTTTTTGACCAAGTGAGTCATATTTTTAAGAAAACAATTTTTATTTTAGAAGGTTTTGTGTATGTGCAACCTCCTTATCAGCAATTTTTAAAATACCTTTTTCAGTGAAAATACAAGGACTTTTCAGATTTACCTGAAATTCACTGATTTTTGACATAGGAAAGGACACATAAGTTAACCATAGAAGTGCTAGCCCCTTTAGTGTAGGATGGTACTCAATGTCTGAATTTCAACAGTGTAAAACACATTTTTCTGTATGTATATTTGTATTTTAAACATTCTTTTTATTTCCATCTCATTGGTAATAATTAATTCCAGTGGAAACCACACATTACATAAATGTATTATTAAAATTAAAAACTATTAAGCAATTTAAGAGAGTTGGCCAGGTTAATCACTAATGTCTAATTTTAAGCACACTCTTCCTATTACTGTGTTTGTCATCTCTATTAGTTTATAATTGCAATAATGGTAGTGTACCTTGATTCTGACAGAAGGCTGGCAGTTCAGTTTCCACTTTAGGGCTACAAACAATTACAGGAGTTTACACTTTTCCAGTACTTTATTATTGGAACATTAAATGAGTGAGTTTCATTTAGCAATACAACTTTTATGCTTTAATGAGAGTACAATAGGGGTCTTCTTTGTTTTTAATTTCCAGGGAAAGACTACTATTATACTGAGGTGCCTCAAGAGGTATGTGTTAAATTTTTAAAAGTCGTTCTAAAAGTAATTTTAGAAGTAGTTACTACCTGTCATCTGGGCCCTTCAGTCCTCCTCTTCCAGTATTTGGCCATCTATTCAGGTTGGGACTGCTACTCCTCCTGTCGTCACCAAATGAGACCTGTTGTCTTAAAGTGTCCTCTCTGTACTGCTGTTTGTAAGCCAAATTCTGAACTGACTGATAAATATAATTTAGTAACTGCAGAATTAACTGTCTTTATTTAGAAGATCTTGACAAAATGAACTTATTTTTCCTTACATAGGGAGGAGATTCCAAAGCCGACTTTAGCCTTGGAATATACTTTTGGAAGAAGGGCAAGGAGACCCGATACAGTGAGTATCTAGAAATTACAGTTTACCATATCTTTGTATATATTTACACACACATAGAAATCATATATATGTTTTGGTTTTATGTATAAGAATTTTAGCTTAATGTTTGTGAAACATTTATCTAAATTAGCTAGCTTAATTTTCTGTTTCAATCTGTAATATGTTTATCCCTCTCACTAAAATACTGTAGATCAGAGACAAAAGTATAGACCAAAACAATCAGATTAGTCTATAAATGCTACCTTGTTTGTTGTGTTTGAATGCTTTTATTTTCCCATTGTAACATAGTATGCACACTTTTGTCTTTGAAATGCAAGCAGTATAAACCAATAAATATATCTTACAACTAGTTTTGTGAGAAGAGCAGCTATCTTAGAGGATGTAAAATCATAATGAAATTGTGGGGCTATGTGTCTGTATCACTAATTTTTGTACTGCAGATTATATTAATAGAAATATTGAACCCATTTCCATCACAGCACAACACTGTCCAGCAGCAATAACTATTGTTGCAAGTTAATTGTTGTTTCTGTTACTGAAGTAGGGAGTGGAAAATCTGACTCTGAAAGATAAAAATCATGTAAAACTTTTCCTAGAAACTAAATGCTACAGTAGAGGTTCATTACTTTTCCAGTTGCAAGCCTCTCAAAAAGCATTGGTCTCGAGCTGCAATAAACAAAAAAAAGGGAAGAGAACATAATTTTTTCTATGTTTATTATTAATCATGTTGCTTCTTGACTTTTTTACTTTACCACAGACATTTATCAAGACAGTCATAAGCATACCAGGAGTCTTTCATAAGTGTTGCATGGGATTTCTTTAACATGGGGAGTTTTCTATTTGGTTTTGGTTTTCAGAAAATACTAGTGAAATAATATATGTTCTTGTTCTGAGCCACTTGCATGAAAAGCCTGTTTATCAGGTGACGATCTTCTCTTGATGTTGCATGGAAGCACACATTTCTAACATAAAGAAACTCTTTTACAGCCTAAAGATGTAGCTCATTTTTGGGAGCTAGGTGGTGGAACCTCGTTAATGGAACTCATTCGAATACCAATCACTAGTAACAGCATAAGGTAAGTGATTGCTATTAGCATTCCAAAGTTAATTCCAGCTTTCCTTCAAACTTAAGTAAATCTCTAGACCTTTTATTGTGAAAAACTCTTTCAAAATGTAGGATAGAACATCTATATTTTTTTCTAAAAAACATTGTAATAACCACCAGTACTTTGCTGACCTTCCTGTTCATAGTTCTCTCCTAATAAGGCAAGTTCTTCAGAATCTCCACCTAGAGGAAGCGATAACATGAACGAAATAGGTTGGCCTTAAGTAGCTAGAACAAGAAAAACACACAAAGAGAAGACATTGTATCTTTATGCTCAGTGAAGAGCAGAAAAAGCAATTTTTTGTATGCCTGGGGCATAAAATCTTGCTTCCTACTTCTCTATGTAAATGTAGATGGTACATCTGTGAAGAGCAGTATTTTAAAGTGAAAAATAAGGCAAGAAATTGTGACCAAACCAATGTGTTTTCTTGGAAGTGATGTGACCATCTGATGAGAAGATGAGTGAGCTTTAACTTTTATGAAAAAAAAAAAAGAGGATACAATTATTATCGTGTACATTTCCTACTGTTTTGGCTATTGAGATAATGCCATTATTTAGTGAGAGAGTAAGAAGGAATAAAAAAAACTTCTGGGATGTGAAGCTTTTTGTTTCTAGAAGAGTTTGGGGATAAAAATCAACTATAATTTTTCAGTTATTGTCTAAATGAACTTAACAGGGCTTCACCTCCATCAGTCTTTTCTTCCCTTTTTATTGATAAGGAATCTGCTCATGTGGATGATGTTAAGATTCTTTGATGGGGTAGCAACATTGTTCTGTAAGACCACTTCCGTTCATAAGGCAATATTTTAATATGCATAAATTCTACCATTTCAACTGAATGTAAGTGCTTTTCACTGGTTTTCCCATCTGTCTGTAGTCAAGCAAGTTCAGTGACTATATCTGGTTTCACCAGGAGACTGTTCACTGGATTTGTTTCCTCACAGCATTTTATAGTGAAAGTGGACATTCACTTTGCTCTGTAGTCTTTCTAATACCACTCTGGTCTGGAATCCCCCTTTTCAGATCAAGATGGAATGTGAAAGAAAGATTGCATATATTCGAATGGTTGCTTTTGCAATCTTCTTCTTTACAGTTGCACTTTAATGCAGTTTTGGGAGGCAGGGGTTTGGAAGGAAAGGAATTTATATGTAAAACAGTTGTCACCATAAATGATGAAACATAAAATGTCACCATAAA